CTTTGGAAGTTTTTAGGTCTGTAAAAAAGAAGTTTTTGAGGAAGAAGGAGAAGTAGTATTTATTTTTATTTTTTTTTTAGACTTTAGAAACTCAGAAGCTGATCAAATATCGGGTTAAATATCGGTGGGGTGGCCGATATCCGATATTCAGTTTTAAGGACGATACAGGCCGATACCGATAGGGGGCCGATTATATCGTGCATCCCTATTTATTATTATTATTATTTTCATCTATACTATTTATAGAATAGATAGAATAAATGGAATTCCTCTTTTCTTAGCTGATGAGCCTACAAAGCTGAGCCAAGGTCTTACCCTGACACAGGCGACTGCATTCAAGCCAAGCGCCTGAGGAATCCCACACAAACTGCTCCCTTTTCTCCTCTATGGGAATGTTGAAGGAGTAACGCACATCTGGGTTGTAAAGGTTTCCCACACACAGGACCTGTTGAAACAATGGGGTCCACACTGAGACATAATATCTTTAAACGGAGGGATTAAACTAAGTCTGTAACAACAAAGGAAACATTGTGCAGAGGTAAATATCAAAAAGAAGATTCTAATAAGTCTGCTTTGGTAAATCTAGGAGCCATGCAAAAATATTATTACCTGTAAAATTAGCTCATCCTCAATGCGGTCTGTGCAATTAATACGCTCAACTTTTGTATCTGAGCCGCTGTACTCAATGACTGTTCCCTTAAAGGTGATTTCCCTTTTGAACATCGCCACCACAAAGTTCCCATTCAGAAGGAAGTTGGACTGGCTGTCAGATAAAGCTGGAATGAGAAGGAGTTAGAAAAGTAAAGGTTATCTTTGAGCAAAAAAAAATGAAATAAAACTCATCCATGAGTTTTCTGCTGTAGTCTGAATTTTGGAAAATGTAAGTTTGATAATCTCTGGGGTTTATCTGCTTTGAGAGCCAATCTCCCATTTGGAAGAGCAAAGCTGTATGCATCATCAGAAGAGGTTTCACCCTTCTTATTTTCTCCTTTCTACAATACCAGAATAGTGCCTCTTTAGGTTTTAAATCTTGAATTGTGTATGGTTTATTCAGAAACCTTCTACCATTACTTCTTCATCCACATAAACAATATTTGTGTAAGAAACCCTACATTTTACTGTAGGTACTGTGCTGTCTATAATGTTCTTTATCTGAAGAACTCTTTGTAAAATCATCTCTTGAGGTTCTAGAGGAGTTCTTAGCACAGAGCTGGCCTCTTTCAGCTTGTCGAGCTTCTTGAAGTCATTTGCTCTGATGATGTTACCTCGAGCGATGATGGCAGAAGAGATCAAACTCTCCACAACAGACTAAGAGGAGATCATCTGCCTCTTGCAGCAAACATCTAAAACTTCCTTACAGTCTGCTCTGTCCCTTCTTATAGACTTCACAGTTGTCAGTGTCCAGGTGAACACCAAGATATTTATAGTACACTCCCACCCCCAATCGATGTTGAAGGGATTCCATTTGTTCTTGTTTTTTCTGAAATCTACAATCATCTCCTTTTTTTTCACATTCAGTATTAGATGATTGCTTCCACACCAATCCACAAAGTGGTTTACCTGCTGCCTGTACTCAGCGTCTTGCACATGTCTAATGCATCCAAAGATTTCAGAATCGTCCAAGTATTTTTGCAGATGACATGGGTCTGTCTATAGGTGCTGCACCACAAAAATATAGCAGATAACAAAATGAAAAGGATGGGTCCACACATAAGCTCCCAATTTGGTTTATTCACCACCCAAACCTACAGTAATAACAACCCCCGACCACCACCACCACCCGCTCCATTTGAATAAATCGGTCTGGGAGCTACGACTAGTCTGCGGCTCCATCTTTTTTTATTTTGTTATCTGCTGACACCATCTAGAGAACTATTGATAGGTGAAAGGCAGAGGGTGCAGCCCCATCTTCTGATCGGGTCCATGACAGATGTGAAGGATGACAAATTTGACAGGTTAAATAGAAAATTTGTATCAAGGGAGGGCAGAATGTCTATTTGACATTTGCCTGAACCAAACCTATTTAATAATGTATTCAGTTCATTGGCTTTGTCCAGACTTCCATTCGTCTGATCCTACTTTTGCATGAAGCCAGTTATCATCATATCAGTGATATGGTCCTAAAGCTTGCTTTCCAGCCTCTTCCTGAAATTCTCCTTGCGTTATCTCATCTTCCTCCCTGAAGGCTCTTTTTTTCTTGTTTAGTAGTTGCTTTAGATCACTGGTGATCTAGGGATTATTGTTGTGGAAGCATTTCACTGTTCTGGCGGAGACAGTGTTATCTACACAGAGGTTAATGTAGTCAGTGACTATCTCAATCATTGTATTGATGTCCTCTTTATGCGTCTGACAGCACATCCCAGCCTATTGCCTCAAAACAAGCTTGCAGGGCTTTCTCAGCTCTGCTTCAGCTGTCCATCTGCTTTCAGTTTGTTTTAATGCAGGGTGACTATTATAAAGGGGTTTCTATTCCAAGCAGAAAAAAAAACAAGATTTTGGTCTGATTTCCCAAAATAAGTCCTTGACATTTGCATAAAACAAGTCTTGTTTTTTCTAATACAGCAGCTGACAAATATTTGAAATATTGGCAGTGTTAAGAGTGCTAGGTGGGATTAAAATAACCAGTTATTGCCGCAAATAATTTGGCTGTGGTGTCTGTAGCTTGGCAACAATGCAACTAATGCATTACATCCATTGTCAGCAACAGCTGAAAGTGGAATCTAAATGGTTATCAACAGAATACTGGTAACCTACATGGACAAATAATATGGATGAAAACCAAGTGCCAACAGAATAGTATCTGGGTTGGAGAGACAAATCTTGACAATAACATGTCGTGGATGCAATCATCTGTTGTTAACAAGCACTGCCAACCCAGCTCCCTTAAGTTTTCCAGTCTTCATGAAATCGGTTCTTAAGGTCAGAAAGCCTGACAGAGAGACACTGTCAGGGATATGATTCTCCAGCCACATTTTAGTAAACAAAAAAAAAAACAGCATTGCTGATATTCTACCTACAGTCTTGCTAAGGATTAGAGTTCTTTTAACCTATTTCCTAAATATCTCCAAGTATCTCTACATTGCCCATGATAATTGATGAAACATAAGGTTTGTATTAGTCAAAGTTTTATTTTAGCCTTATAGATGTTAATAAGTTGTGTAAAAAAAAGAAAAAAAAAAAAGGATACATTTGCCACAATAACGGATCATAATAAATGTCCACAACAGATAAAACATCCTTTCAAATGCCATGCATCCATCAACAGAGTGGGGGCTATTATTGATGATTTTTAAAATTTTTCACAAAGAATAAAATTAATGTGACTCTTTTAAACCCCCATTATCAACACTTCCCTTCAGGTAGACCTGAAGTTTTTAGGGTAATGTCAAATAGATTTACAGAAACTAGATTTCTGCTTATTTTTCATAAATTAGCTACTGCTTTGTTGACTATCATTTGAGCTGAAAAGGTTACTTTTAGTTTACTTGTATTCATTAAACTTGTTGTTTCACCGTGACAAATATATACATAAAAAAACACTTCAAGGAATATGCTCACATTTATAAGAAACTATAAGTGAAGCAAATATTTATATCCTTAAATGTTTTTCCAAAGATTTTTTTACAGGCTAAGATAGAACATTAAAAACAATAGTTGGCATTAAAAATGAGTTACTCAGAGTCTTACTAATGACTCTCTTAAAAGAAATGCACTGCCATACAAAATAGGCCTGACCATCAAATAAAAATACAATCAAAAATGTAAGCATGGAAATAAACGCCACCGACTACTCTACCATTAAATCCTTTAAGTTCAAGTATATGTTTCCCAAGAAACGTGGACTTCATTCCAATCTAATTGTTGCTCGACAAAATAAATGTATGTGATTAATCTTGCTGATAAAACATTGTTTACACTTAACCTCACATATTGCTGGGTGCCAGCTAACCAATTATGACTGATTGTGATCTCTACGTGTCACGGCTAATATAGACGAAGAATGTGCCTTAAAACATTTACGAACACATAATCACATACATAGTGTGCATGTTATATATATAAACAACTGAACTTTCTCTTAATGCCTGACAAGCACCAGATGTGAAAGTCTATTTTCTACATAAAAAAAAAACGTTTTCAAAGCCAAAAGTGGTCTAACTGCTTTCAAATGTATACATGGTGTAAAATCTCATTGTTTTACATACAAACATTTCTTGGTTTTGTCTTAGAATTTAAAAAACAGAAGAAAGAGAGTAGAACACTAGTCAATATGAGCACAAATGGTGAGCCTCAATTAAGAAGCATGCATTGTTTTATGTACTTAGAATACTAACTAGGCACTGAAAAATTACTGCATTATTAACTTCTGATAAGAAACATTAAAACATTTCAATCTGGCATTCCAAGTTATTCTGAACTTTATATATATATACCGGTATATATATATATATATATATATATATAGTTTTATTGAATCTGGGTTTCAAAACTGAGTTGATAAAGTTTCAAAAGCAAAGTCAGAAATATATATTAGCCATGAAGAAAACTTTTCCTGACATTTTTTCTCCTACAAACAGTGGGTTGCTGGTTTGAGCCACTTCTCCATCTGATTCAGTTCCACCAATCCATCACACACATAATCACACAGTGACAGTGGCAAACTACGTTATAACCATAGCTGCCATGGGGCTCACAGACAGAGGCGCCACTGGGCCTTCTGACCACCACCAGCAGGCGATTCGGGTGAGATATCTTGCCCAAGGACACAACAACTGAAAGTTGGAGCTTTAGCCGGCAACCCAGTTGCAGGGCACTGTTGCCCCTCTGTCGAAATACCAATATAGCATTAGATCAACCATCACAAGTGAGTAATTGTGTGTGAACATATATGATACATTCTTATCAAGATATATATATTTCCATAATTTTTGGTTCAGCACCAAATGACTATAGCCTAGTTCAGCTATTTTCTCAGGTGTTTTTTAGAGAACATAAGCACATTTTTAGAATTACAGTATATCTATCAAAAATGAATAAATAAATAAATAAATAAATAAATAAATAAATAAATAAATAAATAAATAAATAAATAAATAAATAACCCTTATAATATCAATAGGTATACTTTGGCATCCTCTGGATAATACCACTTATGACGGGCTCACTACCAGAGTCATTGCATCACTAAATGTGCCTTTTTGGCAGTCAGATATAGTTAAGCCAGACCCTATAAATAGATAACTGTACATAAAGGTCTGTCAGTGTCATGATCTTGGTGCTGATGACTGGCTTGAGTGTTCATTTTATTCATCATGTCTGGCTCAGCCCAGTTTATCTTTAACACTCATCTGTGTCACCTGCTTCAGTCTCTATTTCAGTCATCAATGCCAGATTATTCGAGCCTTTGGAGAGAGTTTTCTAGCGAGTATTACTGTTTTCTGATTGCCTTATCCTGACTCGTTATGCCTTTGGACCTCTGAGCCTACCTGTTCCTGTTCTGATCCGTTTGCCTGACCTGAATTCTGCCTGTTGACCGAACCTGGATCTGATTCCTGACACCCTCCTGGATTACCCTTTGGTACCTCTTCGAATCTCTGGTCTTCTGACCTAGACTCCTGTGACTCTCCTAGATAACAGCTTTGGCTTCGCCCTCTGCCTAGATCAGATCTCCTGCCTGTTTTTTAGTCTTTGGGACTTCAACGTCTGAGGCTCTCTGGTCAGCGTTCGCCGCAACTTGCTGACAGCCCACCGGCTGGAATAAACATCCTCCTCTGGGCACGGACTGAACTTTAAGACCAGGTTAGTGACTCACATATTCATAATCTTCCTCTGCCAGATTTACATGATCACTAAACCTGTGTTTCCTGAATGCAGAGGTTCCTGTTTGCGGAGTGGCGGCCTAGTGGTTAGGCCATAGTGCTTTGAATCTTGAGGTTGTGAGTTCAATCCCCCACTCCCACAGACTGCCACTCTGGGTCCCTGAGCAAGACCCTTAACCCTACACTGCTCCCCAAGGGGATGGGTTAAATGCAGCGAATTAATTTTTAAATCCGTTGCTCTGTACTTATGACAGTGGAATGACAATAAAGTTGGATTCTATTCTATTCCTGCCTTAGATTTGCTCACTGCAGATCCATCAAAATGAAATATCATACTGTCTCTTTGTCTGAATACTGGATTCCCTGTTCTGAGCCTTGACAGTCAGATAGGTTATCTGATAAATCAGCAAATATATATGCACAGATTTCAAGACTGTCTTTAAGATTACAAGTTCTAATTTTTTTGTCTGTTTATTTGTTGTTGTTGTGTTTTTTTTTTTAGCTATTTTTTCTTCTGTGTCTAGCTCAAAAGCCAACACACACACCCACACACACCCACAGCCAATGTTGACCTATACCCCTGCTTTCCAAAGCTTGGCTTGCACATGCCTTTAAATAGCACTTATTAATGCCTCATTTATCTTTCACATGGCTGACAATCCATTTGCTACGCTAAAAAAAACTCAACCAAACCAGATGGACAAACACCCCCCCTCGTTTCCGCTATATACTCTCAACGCGTTGAAACTTGTTCATTTTTCATAATGGCTGGACACCAGCTTATTCTCTTGTTCATTCCCTTCCTGATAACTTCTCAATCTATAAGTCATACGTTTTAATAAATGGACATAGAAAGAAAAATTACTTTGACCCGTGAAAGTGCAGTGTCCCTTACAGCTCTTAAGCTTTAGGTACCGGTAATCAAATTTTAGTTTCAGACAAACTTTCATATATGGCGTTAAGAAGATTAGAAATTATCAGCTTAACGCCATATTTTGAATTTTCATGTGTCATATATTAAAATTTTACAGAAACATATAAAGCCCACTTACCGAGGTAGTTGTCATCTTCTGGTTTTCCCGAGTAGCTAACCTGTTTGATATCAATGTTAGTGGCTCCGGCTGGGATCCTCACAATTGTGTTGTACCCTACAAATAAAAAAAAAAAAAAAAAAAAAAAGTAACGAAACTTTCAGAACAATGTCAGATACTAAACATGGAAAGCTCATACTATATTTTAAATAATACCAGAAGGGAACAAAATAGTTGAAACAACATCCAAAAACATCCAGCTTTGATTACCATAATAGCTTTACTATGTTACAATAAACTCCATTCAGGGAAGACCAGTTCCCTCCACTGGGGATTTAAATTTCACACTGGGAGAAATATGAAAACTGTCGTCATCTCTAATAGCATGCAGGAGGCCTTGTTTTCAGTCCCACAGTCCTGATCATGAAATGATCTGTAATTATTCCCTGGCCTTTCCTTTTTGGCCTGTAATTACAGCTCCTGTTGTGCTGTTTTGAGATAATGCAGAAAATAGGGAGTATGTGAGAGAGAGAGGAAGTCGCCAAAAGCAAAGTGGTGACAACTCAAATGAAGGTATGAGGAGTTGATAAAACGAAGGGGAAATACATGAATATGATACAAATTCAACAGGGACAAAAATAATGGGGATAGTAAGCATAAACATATGTGGTTCTTGAGGTGGGGGGGGGGGCTCACAACCAAAAATCACCCAGACAGAACAGCATATATTGTTTTTTTTTAGCATTCATATGTTAAGCTTTTTGGTTTAGCAATAAATTGGCTTCTCTAGCCTCCTCTTTAATCAGAAACAACCCTTGTGTATATTTATATATTTATGGAACTGAAGATGTTTAAGAAGGTAATTTATGTTCATCCGTGATGTTTTAACTTAACATTTTAAATGAATAAGTTTGGAGAATAAGTCATAATGAAGTCATCTCAGGGTCTTAAGGCAAAGCTAACACCTTAAGCCACTCGGGGGCAGCACTCAGTTTACTTATCTACACCTCATCAGATGTGAGAATATTTCCAGAAAACTTGAAACCTTTTAATAGACTCCTGTTTTCTTCATAAAATAAACACCATATTATTTTACTCCTTGTTTTGCATGTCTGTTTGTTTTTATTGTTATTTTATTGGTGTTAAGTCACATTTCCTCTAAAACCGCTTTGACCTTCACTGACTTTAATAAGCCACTGGTGGCCTATAATCACGAAAGCTTAACAACTCACCACAAAAAGATTTCTTTGCACCACAGAGTAATACAGCAATGAAAATGTTACCACAGCCTATTGGTTGGTGGTGGTGGGGGGTATCATGTTTCTGAATCATGTAACATGATATCAAAACGTATTTTTAAAAATTGGTAAGCAGTGGGCATGGGTCATGTTTAAAATTACACATCTACTTAACAATATGAAAAAAAGGTTTAAAACAAAAGTTGAGAATATAAAAAAAATATATATATATATAAATATATATATATAGTTAAATATTTTAAAACAATATTTATAGAAGATTAAAAAATGTATTCAATACCTTACTAATTACAGAAGCTGAATTTAGTCGTAGTTTTCAGAAGCTTATAGCAGAATTACATGCACTAAAGTAAAGCACCATCCAACACAAGATTCAATTGATCGACATGTTTCTCACATTAACTGGACGCAGAATGATTATATGATGTGTTGTACTATGCCAAAACACATTCTGCATTCCCATACTGAAATTCATGAAGATAACTTGTTTCACTTTTTTTCATTTTTTTTTCACTGTGATTACATTTATACACTGGAAAAATGATGTAAAAATAAGTAAACATTTCTTAAATTAAGTGTATTTATCCTTAATTTGAGTCAGTAAATGAGATGTTTTGCCAATGGAATTAGTATTTTTACTCTTAAAATAAGATAATTAGATAAAATGCACCGGAAATAAGACAATGTAATTCTGTTTTCTTATTTTAAGAGTAAATTATTTTGTTCCATTGGCAAAGTGTCTCTTTTACCTCCTCAGTCCAAGAACAAATGCACTTATTTTAATAAAAAAATGACTTATATAGATTTCCATTTTTTCCAGTGTAATGTGTAGATCACAGAGCAAAAAGGAAAAAATTGGCTTAAAGGTTAATTCGTCTGTTTTTCTTTCAACTAGAAATCATTTAAAACAGCCAAGTTTTAGTTTTTTGGCAATCAAAAGAGAAAATGATCATTTTCTGCTATTTTATTGGCAAAAAAATGCTACTAATGAAGTGAGGTAATAGAAGCTCTTGTGTATTCTATGCTCCATAGAGCTAGAAAAAAAATCTCCCTCAACTTAGTAAAAAACACTTGAAATCACAGGAATTGTTAGATGAAAATACTTTAAAGTTTTTTTTTTGGAACTTTGATAACAAATAAGCATTTTGGACAGTAAGTCACTGGTGACAACTCTTTAACTAAAATACCAAACTTAATTGCAGGAACGCTCTGAGGAGGGTTGGGTAAATACTGTTAAACTCCTGACTTATCATCAAGCAATGATTATTTTGAAAAATTACATGTTTTTAAGACAAAGAACAGAGATACTGGGACCAAATACAGAAAGGTTAATAGTCCTCAAATAAGGCTTTAAGAGGTATCTAACAAAAGGAACAAAAGGGGTAGATGAGACAAGCCAAGATCCAGAAACAGAGGGATATCCTGCCTGGGCTGCACTCCCACTTGTTTTCCCCTTCTTAAAGTTAAGCCAGATTTCCAGGACTGACGTCAGTGGCTGGTTTGGCTGAATACAGTCCTCAAAACTTGTTGCCTCCAAGCAGCCAACAGAGAGCAGAAAGAAAGCTGACGGATAGAGATGCAAACGCTTAGTGTCCAACTTGCAAGAGTAAACAAGTGGAAAGCCCCACCCTGGGCTGTTTTTTGTTTGCTAATGGTTCAGCTGTGTTGTTGCCCAGACATTGAAAGAATTGGATGATGTTAGAAGTTGGCCCATACTGAAACACACCATTAAGCTAGACATTTCCAAGTAGAGGATGCCAGGTTTGTTTGCCATTGAAACTAAAGACACATTGGCTCATCAGTTTTTGGACTATATTGGCTTTAATTGTGCATTTTTAAAATTTGTCAAAGGCCTCAAAGCATGTGCTCTAAATAAACATAACCAGACATGTGTACAGTGCCTGACACAACAATGTGGCCTGTGCTGTCAAGACTATGACAATAAAGAATTGAAAATCTGTTTTGGATCATATATGTTTACTGTGCTTCACGTTGTTTTGGATGATGTTGCTGACTCCATATATCTTTAAGTGCAACACAGAAAGTTTAAATGGAGATAGTAAATTCAGCAGTAGGACTTACCATACTGGGCGTGGTTGAATGTCCCTGCCAGGGTTTTACATGAGGAGTTGTCCCCACCACACACTCCACACTTGTCATTCCTTGCCTTTGAGTTGAGAACATGGTCGCAGCCTGCTTGCTAAAAAGCCACAATGCAAGATAATATGAATCTTACACTTCACAGCATTTTCACAAAAATACCTATTAAGTAGAAAGTACCTATTCTACTTAACTTTTCTCGTGTCAGCTCTGTTTAATATAATTTGGTTAATTTCCATTGCAACTGAGTACTATTAAATATGGGAGAGATAATCATAGCAAGGCGCCCTCACAATCCAAAAAACGAAATACTAATAATGTGATGTGATTTTTAGTGACACAAACAAAACCAAACAAAGCCATAGATCTCTGTTCAGTCTTTGGCTTTTGTTAAATTACAGCGGAAAAAAATGAGAGCCAGAAAAGACTGTCGGCATCAGACCAAAGCTGTCCGTAAAAGCAGAGAAGAGGGAGGAAAGTCATGAATGACATCAAACTGAAGGTACAAGCAAGCAAAGGTTTGAGGGTAGGGTAAGCTGCGTAATCACAGTTTGGTGTAGTGGTCATATACAAAGTAAGTCAAATTTATAAATGTAATATGTAAGCTTTGACTAGCAAAACTCCCCCCTTCCTGTTTTCATCACAGTGAATTGTAACCAGTTCCAGATTTGTGTTACTAGTTGAAAAAATAATGAAAAAAGGCCATTATAAGACACCAAACAACCTGAACCTTGGAAAGACAAGAGAAACACTAAGAAACATTCTTCTGAATGAAAGCAGACCTTTTGGACAGAATTTTTAAAACTCAAAAATCTGAAATTTGGCAAGTAAAAGCAATGCTGATTAAATTGCAGCAAATCCATCATATTCTACCCCTTTAAACTTTCAACTTTTGTAAAATGGAACATTGATGTTTACATATACTAATGTTCCATGCTTAATTTGATAAACTACAGTATAATCATTTTGACTTGGCTTCAAAATAAGGATAAAACCATGTTATTTCCCCTAGGCTACATTATATATGTCCCCCATATGTACATTATATATTTAAATGTTGGATAGTTTTTAAAGAAAAAAGAGTTTCCAAAAAAAAACAACCACAAACCTCTGATCAGTGCAGAATGGTAACCAAGAAAAGTTTAGCTAAAAAGATGCATATCAGATCTAAAAGCATGTTAAGATTGCAAGTGTTGGCTTCCCTGCAGCTATGATACATGTTAGGAATATTTAAGCTTGTGTTTATGTCTGAAAATGTAAAATGTGTTAAAGAGGAAAAATAAACATGTAGACATACTCTGCAGAGGCCTTGAACGCAGATGTCGTAAGTGTCTGGACCACACGGAGTGCCATCCACCACACGGTCCTTCAGCTGATAGTAAGCCATGGTGCCAGCAACCCGGCAAAAAAGCTTACAGCGATCCTTCATCAGTACTGAATGAGAACGAAACAAAAAAAAGGACAGAAATGCTGATTCTAAACTAATGCCATAATAAAGACTTAGACATGACTTGTATGCCATTAGAAATTTGTAACACTTTTTTTTTCTTTTTTTGCAAATGTCAGCAAAGCATTGAAGCCAAAGGATGGTTTGGTCCTTGGATGAAAGCCACTTTTTGTCTGACAGAACAATGTCTCCAGAGTTTGCCTTGTTTGCTTGTAGAGCATCAATTAGATGAGTGAATCAACCGCAGTAAATTTACCAGATGGTAATCCTATGGGTTGTCCATCTAGTCAAGTTGCAGCTGCATGTTGCTGGGGGTTTGTTTTGATGGGGCTGCATGCGGCTTTTACAGCATTTTCTGACACCGACTTAAAATTTTCTCCCAATTCTTGCACTGCAGATCCTGGAACTAGTGATGTGTCCAGACTATAAAGTGATTTAAAGCTCATAATGTGTAGCAGATCCTTAAAAGAGCAATGTCAGGGGTTAGTACAGTTCATTCTTTAATCGAGCTTAAATGCTTGTCTGTGTGTTTCTAAATTTTGGGGAATTTGGAAAAGAAGATTCTACCTTTTTCGAAGGAACACATTTGTATACTTAAAGCTTGGTTTATGCTTAAAGCATCTATGAGGTCCATGGGGCCAAATTCTGTAATTTTGGGCTTTCCCTGCCGTGCATGTGGACGAGCACCTAAGAAGATGTTTAACTAATAGCATTTAAGATTAAAATGTATGTAGCTGTCAAAACAAGTGCATTGATACAAGGAATCCAGATGCAATGACAAACTAATAATGCATACTAATAATGGTTAACACTAGGTGGGGCACAAAACAACAGTAAAATATGTTCATGCTTACCAAAATTAGATATGTCAATTTTGTTTTGTTACTTTATGTGACTTTTAAGCACTGCAACATTTGTTCTACACCTGTGTGTTTACTTACTGCCGCTGTACTTTGGGACCCATCTGACAGAGGGAGGTAGACCGTTGATATTAAAGTGCTTGCCGTCAAATTGAGAACATTGCTCTTCTCGGAAATCCTTCTTTCCTCGTGGACATGGCTCAGTGTTGCAGGAGCGGAACTTCATCCTGCGGCCCACGCAGAATCTCCCACCATTTCTTGGCCTACAAGCAGAAGATTAAGATCGCAGAACCCATGGTGGCTTTTTCTTTGTTTATATATATATATATATATATATATATATATATATATATATATATATATATATATATATATATATATAATGCAGCCATGTCTTTCTTACTTACTCAGGTTTGTTGCAATCTCTGGTAGTGCTCCTTGTCCCACCACCACAGGACCTGGAGCAAACACTGTAGGGCCCCCAAGGACCCCACTCTCCGTTCACAGCCTGCATGTCCAACTCCTTGTTGATACACATCCCATGTTTGCAATACTGCATGTAAAAACAAACGCACAGGCAATTGTGTCAACAACTGTGGAGGCGAATGTTGCAATAAGGAACACCAACAGAGAAGAGGTGCCAGTCCTGGGCACCACTTCAATATCATCTAAATACAGACTTAAAATAATACTTTACCACAAATCATCCTTTAGCCATTTCCTAAAATGTATCCAATTTACTTCTAAAAGGACTAAGGCTGCCCTGACATTAAGTCTACGGCAGGCGTGTTTTCCTTTGTGTGTAACTAAATTCCCCGCTGAATGACTCAGATATCAGGGGGTCCTGTTTGCTGAAAGAATGCAGGACAAGACGCCGTCTGTCTGGGTACGTAACCCGCCGCCTGCACACACAGGTGGTGGGCAGTGGCACTGTGATAAGGAAACTCTGGAGATTTGATAACAAGGGGGACAAAATGTATTACTAGCTCAACATCAGCAACTACCTTCTCCTGCTCAGTAAAAGTAACTAAACTGATAGCCATAAAGTGAAAGAGCACTGGTACCTGTTTTACATGTAACATTTATTCCTAGGATATGACATCATACCTAAGAACATGCTTATAAGCGAGACACACTGTCTGAACTTAATCCTTGCTAGATGGTATGCAATTAGTGTTTTTTTTTCTTTCATTCTGCAGTATTAATATTTTCAAAATGCACCAAATCACCTCAGAGAGCATCTGAACATGTCTGTGCATCAATAGTCAGCCAGTTGGAAAATATTGTTTGCATACAGTGAATTCACTATATGTAAAAGTGATTTCTAAGGGCAATAGTGCTCTTCAATGTGGATGTTATCATGCCATGAAGAAGTCAGGTATACTTAGGATAAGTGAAGCTCAGGCCTTCTACAGATCAAGAAAGACTTAAACTTAAAGCAGGTAACAGGAAAGCTTGATGACATGAAGACAACTTGCTTTATTAGTTTGAGAATTCAACCTCTTTGATCAAACAGCTTGGATAAGGAAATGTTTACAGTAAGGTTAGGAGATTTATCGACTTTATCAAGTAATCAGATTTGTTGTTTATGAGAAATACCGTTTGGAAAATTGATTTTTTTTTCACCTATGCACTCCAAAAGTAAGTTAGGAAGACTGGGAGATCAGAAATTAGCATTTGATCTTTGCATCTCTAATTTCAATAATGTAAATCAAAAAGAGAAATGGAAACATGTCAACATATCTACTTTGGGATATCAAATGTAGGAGATATTGGATGTATGTTTCATTAGAAATATAAACAGTTTTGACTTTGAAATGAAATCAATTATGAATGATTGCAAAGAGAATCACCAAATATTTCTACAAAACCTGTCACTACTGCATCTTCCTTGAACACTTGGTTTCCACTTTTCTTAAAAACCAGAGATTTTAATGGTTGTGTGTTACATCTGTGCACATTCACAGACAGGTGTTAGGGGTTGCACGAGTTGCAAATGTTTACAACGTCAAGATTTGTTTTCACAATTTTTGGCCCAGTCCTTAAGTCTGAGCCAACAGGAAATGCTAACATCAAGTGATCATTTTGTTGTAGCATTTTCTATCTAGATTTGGAACAGTAATTTATCAAACGGCGCTGACAAGAATGTGAAGAAGCGTTATTCCACACAGTAAAAAAGTGAAAAATAAATTTATGTCATTGCTAGCTGAGCATCAACAAAAAGAAAACACAAAAAAGAGTCCCTTCCAAAGGCTTGTATACTCCTTTTCTATTCCACGCTGTCATTTAATGTTACAATATGACCAGGATTTCACATAATAGATAAACACAAAGTGCATGAGATTGAAGGGAAGAAAAAAAGCATGCATCCCATACTGCACTTTTTTAAACAAAATTCTAATATCTGATGTGTATATATAAAATGTATAATCTTTTAATGCAATTGCAGTTGCTAGTGTTTCCTGTAAGAGAAATTTTTTTTTTTTTTTGCCACTGTCTCATTCAATAAATAGAATAACACAAGTTTAGTCAAAGGACAATCAGACTTCCTAAATAGCATCTTTGTCTTAGCATAGATTCTCATCTGGCTTCACGACGGGAACTCAAGATGTTTTAACTGTTTGAAATGCTTTTATCTAATCCATTTTGTTGTAGTCATTACTGGAAACTGATTGTTGTTCTACCATAATGAGAACCTCTGCTTCAGTCTGGAGTATTTTGCAGTCCCTAACAGTTTCTCTACAAGGATTCTCCTATACTGTATGTCATCTCCATACATCCTTCCATTAACTTTGATCAGTTCCCCCATTCCTACTGACAAAAAAAAAGTTTTATCCACAGATTAACAACCTAGTTAAACAGCGGAGTTGGTGTGTGCAGAATGCAGAATTTTCAGTAACAAGTCGGGGGGGGGAACGCAGTCATTCTTATTAGATGAAAACACTTTCTTCCAAATTTTTGCTGTGTTTCCTCCAGAGCTTTCTGGAACCTAAAACATCATTGTACAGCTTTCCTTTTTTTCTGACCATACTTTCACAAATGCAAGATAAATGGAGGGGGGAAAAAATAGTATTTTCCTCTCAATAGATTCCTCCACCTGAGCTCTGAAACTCTGCAGTTCCCCCAAAGTCACCCTCTTTGTCTATAATTAATGTTTTCTTTTAACAGCCTCAAAGTTCAAGTAGATGGTAGGGATGCAAACAAATAATTGACTTATAATTAATTGCAGATTAATGATTTATTAGATTAAAATTTATTATATCTGATTAATTGATAACATCTGCTAAAACTAATTTTATTCGGTGTTGATGGTGTAGAGGGTCTTCTTATTCATTCCTAAGTGGAGCCTCACTCAATTTACAAAAGAAGAAATGCCTGAGCAGAGGAATGCTAGAGCAGAATCATAGATTGATCCAGATTAATACACAATATAACAAGAATTCAAAATAAACTTAATGTGGGTTGATTTGTAAATATAAACACTCAATAAACTCCTTAAAGTATCACAGAAAAAACGGAAAATTTAAGGAGCAAATTAACTTCTGTGCTTGGAAAATGAGGATGCTGGGAAAAAAGTAAAGGGCATAACTTTAGTTACATGAAAGAAAGAGACATGCTACAGCAGCAATAAGGACATTAAATGGCTGAGGCTTTTGTGTGTTGAAAATGTTTTGTCTTATAAATATGGGCACTTTTAAATTAATCATTAGTTTAGAGGTGAAATCAATCAACTATTGATTAATCCAGTTGATAATTGTTGATAATTCCTAGAAGATGCCAACATTCGGTAGGTTAAGAGTTGCATATTTTCAATTTTGAATAGTCCTCCGTGAGATGTTGAAAGTTTTAATGTTGGAATTATACTCTATAATAATGCACTATAACCACAATAACTCCTGTAAAAAGCACTGTGCAGCTATATTATAGTTTTTTTTTTTTTATTTATTGACTGTGCAATATTCTGTGCAATATGCTGAATGTGCAATAAATGTGAATAGAATAGTCATACCACTACCTCACCGTTTTTCCTTACCTACTACACTTTAACGTAAAAGTAAATCCACCTGTATATAAGCCACCCGGATTGTACATATGTCACCTCAAACCTCTGTGGTACTACCTTGTATTTTTTTATTTTCTTATTTTTTATTTCTTATTTTTATTTTGTTTTTCATTATGTGCAATACGTGTACACTTGCACCTTAATCCCTTTTTATATTGATATACTGTATATACCTGGATATACTCTCTCTCTCTCTCTCTCTATATATATATATATATATATATATATATATATTGTTTATTCTTCTTAATGCACCTTTTTCCTCATTGTTTGCACCTTCTTCTTTATTTACTATGCCAATATGTGACAAGTGAATATCTCCGCTGTGAGATCAATAAAGCTCATCTAATCTATACAAATAAATAGACATAAATCGTTATTTCCTCATTCCTTTTTAAAGTTTAGATTTGAGTCTGTCTGATGGAGAATTTCCTCCTCAGATTGATTTTTGACATACTGAGACAAATCGCAAAATAAAAACCTTTGTAAATCGTAACAATTCATTGTTTGATATATTAAAATATCAATGACCCCATTTAACTATGAGAATAACTGTTTATGAGCCATTTTATATTCTAAACATTGCTTTCCACTTCCTAAATAAGCATTGTGAAGCCTGTGGGATATTAAAAAGTTAAAATCACATTATTTTTATGAAAAGTTTACAGTAGAGTTTTCCTCCATTCACAGATCCCCTCCCCCAAACATACTTAGTGACTTGAAACCCAGACCTTAGCATCTCTTATTCATTTCCACCCATCCCCCTTATCTTCCGTATGGGAAATCGCCAAAGCCACGTAGAGACCACCACAGTGCAACCAGGGAGCAGGGCCCAAAAAGCTGTCAAACACAAGGAGGACTGTCTGTCACAGAGCACCAACAGACTTTGTAAGCCTCTGTGGCATTCCGCTATCCATGCTGACAGACTGTGTTTACAGCCATTTTGTATGGCTTGAAAAGGTGTTTTTAGAGGAGAAAAAAAAAGGAGACAAAAGGGCAACAGAAAGGGGAAAAAAAAAACATCTGTGAGAGGTGATCTGTGAGCATGTGAACAAGTGTGAGTGTGCACAGGTCTGAATGTGTGTTAGAAGGAGGGAATGAATGAATGCTGAGGGGTCTGGAGACATCTGGGGGCCATGCACAGTTCCAATTAGCCTCTTTCTAAAAGAGTGCAAACACACTTTAAAAACACTAAGGTGGAAAGCACTCTGCAAAGTTCAAACAAGCAGTACAGGCGCTTTCCAAGAAAGATTGACAAACTTTGCACTCAGTTGGGTATATTGTGAGACATTTGAAGGTCCTGTGAGAGAAGCAAAGCCAGCTGTGACAAACGTGTGTTAAATTAAGAGTTCCATGCTGCCTTACCGATACATTTCATGTGTTGAATCAAAAAAGGGGGATTTGGGCTATAAATGCATCCTGCATTTTCCCCATTAGGAAATTCATAAACATTATAATCACTTGGTTCTGAGCTAAAATTTAAGAAGCCT